CCAAGAATTTTATCCTTCCACTTGTCCCATTGGGCATCGCCCGCTTTTTCGGCTATCTCGTCGAAACCATTCATATTCACAGCGATTAGACCTCTGTTGTTTCAGGGAAGGGCATGACGTGAAGGAGTAAACATTGAAGCGTTGCGAGTTCAAGCGCTGTGCCTGACAAAGGCGGCGTGGGTTGTACTTGGCGAGACCTTCGTTGCTGGTGTCTCGTGCCAGTACACTCTTTCATGATTCCAAGCATAAGATGGCAGATCAACCACAACTTGAGGAGATTCCACCAAGTCTTGTTCCCGATTGACCTTGGCAAGCAAAATTGGAATGCCAGTGGCCCACAGGCTTCCCACTGCCTTGAGAGCAGTCGTGACAGCATCTTCTTTTCGAACCAGCAAAGAAGTATAAAGAAGCTCTGAAGGCAGCTTTGCGTCGATGCTTTCCATTATCTGCACCAACGGGGCCTTTAAAGCAGCGTGAGGCCCAACTTCAAGGAGTGCATCCCACTTTACGGTTGCTTTGCGTCCAGCACGGCGCCCTGACGACCCAACGAGAAGGTTGACTGGAGACGGCTTCCGAAAATCGTACTGTGCCGCACATGTTTCTGATCCAATACGACTTGCCAACCTCAATGGGATCAATGAATAGAACATGGGAATCTTTGCTTCCTGGTTCGCGCCTCCAACACCAGCCTCAACCATGGCGCGCAGACAATCATCTGCAACCATTCGCATATGAGGAGAGTGGTATGCCGGCACAACGCGAAGCTTTCGTGCGAAATTACCATCTTTGGCGATGCTCTGCTCAAGAATATCAACAAATTCGGCGTCTCCCGAGAGCGTAACGCTCTTCGGGCTATTGACACAAGCCGTAACAACAGTTTCAGAGGGCATGGTAGCCAAGTATGCTTCGGCTTCTTCCTCCGATATGCCAGCCGCCAACATGGCGCCGGCTTTGGGACCTCGAGAGACCATGCCTGAGTAGACGCCTCGGATAAAAGCGACCTTGACAGCGTCCTCGTGAGACAGTATTTCGGCTGCATATGCAGCAGCTATCAAGTTATAATAATATTAGGCTCTTACACAGCGTAGAACTCTGACATTTCAGCACTTAGCAATTTCACCGCTCGAATGTCCAACGACGGCCTTCGGTCTAATATCCCACTCGCGGAGCAAATCGACCAAGGCGATTTGAACGACGGTGCATATCGGCTGACTGTATTCTGAGCTCTCAATCTTGCTTCCCTCTGTCTGTTGTATCTCAGTTTCCACATCGAAGGGGCAGCGCAATGACTCCAGACAAGCTTTGCTTCTCGCGACGCTCGCCGCAAAAGTGGGAAATTCGATCAACTGTCGTCCCATGCCCGCCCACTGAGCACCTTGTCCAGTGAATACGAACGCGACTCGATTCTGCTTGGTTGAGCGCTTGAACCGGGGCAATGGTCCCTCCAAACCTTGCACAAGCTCTTCCGTTGATTCAGCAACTACGAAAGATCTATAATCAAATAAAGACCGTCGAGTTGCAAGCGTATATGCTACATCTGAAAGGTATGTTGCTGCATTCGTAACGTCGTTGATGGCTTTGTCAGATTTCCAGTACGATCCAAGCGATTTGCCCAGTCGCTGGATTCCGGGCTCGTCGCGTGAGCTCATGATAAAGAGCTTCTTCTTCTTCTTCTTC